TCAAATAAGGTTAACTGCTATGATTCCCTACCTTGCCAATTTTTTTTGAAGTTAGATTCAGGGGTAGCCGTGTTGGTCAAGCAACAGAACAAAGTTTGAGTCCAGTGGCAACTTTAAGACCAACAAAGTTTAATTCTGGGTGTAAGCTTTCGTGTGCATGCACACAAAAGCTTATAACCAGCGTTAAACTTTGTTGGTCTTAAAGATGCTACTGGACTCAAACTTTGTTCCATTTTTGAAATTAGTAGGTCTTTATATGGCCGAATGTCTTTCCCACCCACCCCATTAAAAGGTTTTCCTGGTCTTGTTTACAGACAGGCAGGTGTTGCAGGGACTGGTGGTGGTTAAACTGGTTTTAAATTCAATAGCATACATGGACTTTGAAAGTTATGGAGTTTGAGTGGGAGGCTTCTTTGCGGGGTTCCCCAATATGGTGCCTGCCAAGTTTTTAAGAAAATGGGCAGGGCCTTTGCAAGACAGGGCCTATTATTGGCTGCTCTCATTCGGATGAAGAAGCACTTGGACTTTCCTTAGCCTTTTTGGGAGATGATGCTCTCCACTCCCTCTCAAGATTTCAAAGGTGTCCACAGGCCTAAAAAAAATGGGAGAATCCCTGCTGTATTAGGTACGAGTCAGCAAGGGCTCTTAAAGGTAAAATGGGGTTTGATAGCATGTGTGTAATTAGAAAAATTTTATTGATTTGAAAACAAGCTGTTCTACAAATTGCATTCCAGAATTCTTGCAGAGGCTTTAGGCTGGGTTGAGGTAGTGTTAATAAGGAGCTTGGAGTTCCAGGAACAGGGAAGGTCATAAGGAAGAGAACACCTGAACGGACATTCACATGACCAGATAGACTGTAGGCTCATAGTTCATTTTCTGTAGCTTCACTTGAGGCCTGCTTACTGCCTAAATGCAAGTGAGGGGTGAGTGAGGTGCTCCTGATTACTGAGTTAAGTTTTGGTCAACGTAGCTGCTATCAAGTTTTTGTAGATCAATGTAAGCTCAACATGGGGGTGAAGTCAGGGAGAGTGAACAGTATGAGGTTAATTAAAAGCGCTGTTAAGGCTATAGGCTTGTGTGGCATGGCAGGTAAGTGGGACTGAGCTTACCAGGTGTTTCTGAGTTTTTACAAGCTTAAGCTGCTAAAATGGGATGAGTATTAGTTCAGACCTTGAATTTCCAGGTGGTTCAAGGGAGGGGCTGTGACTCTAGGGAAAACCAGGGTGCTGTAATAGTTAAGAGCAGCGGATTTTAATCTGGAGAACCAGGTTTGATTCCCCATTCCTTTGCATGCAGAAGGTCCCAGGTTCATTTCCCCGGACGAGGCAAGTCCTTGACAGACCCTGGAGACCTGCTGCCAGTCAGAGTAGACAATACTGATCTTGATAGACCAACAACCTGACCTCATTAAGGCAGATGCTTGTGTGTGTCCTTCTTGATGTTCTCCTGTAGCCCCAGCTACAGAGGCTGAATGTGCTGAGAGGCAATAGCATACCAGTGATGCTAGTTTGGTGTAGTGGTTTAGTGCACGGACTGTAATCTGGGAGAACCGGGTTTGATTCCGCACTCCTCCACTTGCACCTGGCTGGATGACCTTGGGCAAGCCATAGTTCTGATAAGAGCTGTTCTTGAAAAAGAGCAGTTTCTGTCAGAGCTCTCTCAGCCCCACCCACCTCACAGGGTGTCTGTTGTGGGGAGGGAAAGGGAAAGGAGTTTGTAAGCCGCTCTGAGACACCTTTGGGTAGTGAAGGGCGGGGTATAAATCCAATCTCCTCTTCTTCATCTATACTGGGCTGCAAATACTGAATCCATCACTCTTCCTTCCACGGTACATGACAGCAGTTCAGATAGGGCAGTCTGCCTCTTGGTCTTGCTGCTTTGCTTAGTATATATCAGCCCTTTGTGCTTGTCTACCAACTGCTGCTAACGTACCGTAGCAGAGGAGGCTGTGGCTCAGTGGACAAGCCTTGTTTTGCATGCAGAAGATCCCAGGTTCAATCCCCTGCATCTCCAGTGAAAAAGGCCAAAAAGCAGGTGATGTGAAAGACCTGACAGCCACTAGGCCTGTTCACAAGTTGCAGTGAGCATACGTACAATCTGTTTATATGTGGGCTCTTGACGTACAGGTGTCTTTCTTTCTTCAGGATGCAAAATGAAGTTCCTCAAAGGTGTGGACTTTGTGGCACGGACCAGCACTCCCCAAGACACTCTAGATTTGTTGTCAGAGCTGAAGGTAATACGGCTTGGTCAGCTGTCTCTAAGGCAAATTATATTCTTAGCAATGAATAATAATCTTTAACGGTTCTTGAACTTGCTGTTGTAAAATGGCTTGACACAAAGCTGAAGAGTGCAACCACTGTTGGTGCCGGTCTGTGGCTAGCAGCTCATTCTCAGTTCTGTATCAGTATCTCGATGATTTTGAGGATGTGCCATATT